ACCATGTTCGCGCTGGTCCAAGGGATTCGTAGACCTCGTCGGTGTCGTTGTAGAGGCGCAACTGTGGGCACGAGAGGTGCAGCGAGTCGATGAAGTGTTGCCTGTCGAAGAGGTACTCCATCTCCTGCCGCCGCCCCGTCCGGATGTGAGAGATGTCCGAGTCGTTGCGCTTGAAGATGCGCGGCATGACCAATGAGCCTCCAGCCAGCATCGTGTATCGCACACAGTTCAAGATCGAGTTACGAATGTTTCCAATCCCACCGACATTGTTGTCGCATGTGAACACAACTTGCATCGCCTTCCCTGCATCCCACTCTGTCCTGTCGCAAACCCCCCGGATGACGTCTGAATTGACCGGCTCGAAGTCAAAGATGTCCTGATGGGCCAATCGCGGAATCCATGGCACCATGCTCGAATCCATGCCGACACGATCGAGGCCCAGCTGCTCACGGAATATCCACAAGAATAGGAAAAAGACGCCCACTGCAGCTGCATTGGCGAAGCGGCCGAAGCGGCCGAAGCGCCGTTTCGGGTACCCTCCGATTATGCCCATGATGTGGTTATTGTGTGTAGACTTGCGATTCAAGCGGCCTTTAGAAAGGATCCCCATTGGGAAAGAGAAAAGGCTTTGGGTGAGGTTTTGAGAGATTTCCTCCGAGGGAGTGTTCATCCCTTGTATGCCAGCGCTGCGTTCCAGAGTATCGCCCAAGGGTTGTGGCTCACCCCTTTCATGATTAGAACAGACGCGTTGTTGGTAACTTATCGCGTTTGTCTCAATGAACATATATGGTTAGCTTAGTTGTCGCTGTCGTAGATCCCACCGCCGTCACATCAATAGTTCAGCCCCAAGCGGAAGCTAAATCAGGCCGCTCGGATATTGCGGAATTCGGAGCCGGATAGTCCTTCAATGAATTTCAGATGAGCGAAGCAGCAAAATCATTGCTCTTTATTGAGTTTTGCCGGGAGAACTTCTTTCTGGAATGCCAAGAGCAGACAGGTGTAGTCACCAGCATGTCACCCCTTACAGGAAAACGGTCACATTCATCCCTTACGTCCTACCTCATAGATGCTGCGAGACTAATCGCATCCAATTCGAGATCAATGTTGCAAGGAAACCTGGCCAGGCTAAGCCCAAACATGCGCTTTCAATTCCGAAGGGAGGGGCAGCCAGCATTGTCGTACAAAATGGATCTGTTCATTCTCACTTACACAATGCCTTCAGCTTCACCAACACCAAGACCAGATGACGAAATCGTCGCACACCAGCCTCAGAATGAATTCCTGCCAGCACATGCGAACAATATCCTCTGTTTACAAGAGAAGCTGGACTCGTCAATCAATCTGGAAACAGTAATTGAGACCTAGAAAACATTCGATGCATGACGTCTCCTGATGCTTGCGGGGGTCAGATCCAAGTTTCCTAGTTCACTCCAAGTTCGGCCACTTTCGTGCATCATTCCTTCTTGGGCCTCAACTGAACGTTGGGCCTCAAATAAATGCTTAATCGGATTGATTAACAGTGCAGTGATGCCAAGCCCTTTGACCAGTGCCTTCTGGGATGAGCATATAGAGAGTCGCTCTAACCTGCTCGACGAGCTTTTGGGCAATTCAGAGGACAACGGTGAGTGTTTCTATAATCATTCAATGCTGATAAGTCAGTAGTAAGGTACTGAGCATTGATCGGCTGATATGTTTCATGAATTTCTCGGAAGAAAGACGTCGAAGGCGTCGAGAACTGGCTTTCCTCCCATCCATGCGCCGTCAGCCCGTCAGAGAATGTCTTCATCAGCTAAAGACACGATTCGATATACGGTTTGCTTAGTATTTAGCAATATGTCACTCTACTTTCACAAGACGGAAGCCCCTGAAACGAGCTATCGAGCGACTGCCTGCTTCTGTTGACTCGTTTCGGCCTTTAAGATGCCGTGTCAATGGCTGCGTGCTCAGGCCCGGTCACGTTGCAAACGCCGGTGCTGACTCGAGAACCGGAGTGGAGACTTAAATGACCCGGAGCTGGTTCACAATCGCAATAAAAGAGTCGGAAGTTGGAAATTCCACCGCGGTGATAGTTACAGCCAGTTCTCTTGTGCGTATGGCACAGCTGCGGTCAAGTGTTCCGATCTGGTGTTCGTCTTGGGCGCTCTCGGCGTGGGAAGCGTCTATGTCTCATTGCTCCTTGCCTATGTTTCGAAAGTGGCCGTCGCGGAGCCAGTCGACATATTTCGAGTCACAACCGCGCGTGAGTAGCTTTCGGGACGCCCTTTTGGGTTTTGCTTTGTGATATTCTGACAATGAGAATCCCGGCGATGTTGGTGATGTGGTCTTCATGCATGTTGCAGATAGCCCACGTTAGGACTTGGGCCGTCTTAGTGTCATATGCATGCAGCTTTGTTTACTGGGTACCTTTAGTGAGGTAGGATTTCTCTGCGGTCTCGATATAGGTGCGAACACCGCCTATCGGAATCAATTTGATGCCAGTTTCCCGCACTTTTTGTCATCACATCAGATTAGTCAACCGGTGTCAAGAAAGATATAGATGACTTAGTCCAGGAACATCTGCCTCGGTATCCACTCCCGAAACCTAGAAACCATGCGCTACCGCGGGCCTTGCTCGGCACTGTGCCGATGGGCTGAGGATCGTCACCAGGGGACCCCATTCTTTAATGCTTCCAGAATCGAGCTCATGCTTCGTCTGTTGCACTTCAGATCGTTCGAATAGTCAATCTTGCAGGATTGAAGTATACGATCGGACACTATTGCAACACAATTCTGAGTTCTGAGCGATTGAGGGGTCGATGTTCTCTCAAGATAATCGTTTCCTTCGAGGCAGCACCAGAATGACACTGAGTATTCGAAATCCAAGTAATCCCGTCGGCTTTACAAATAGGATGTCATGAGTAAAACGCTCACTCAACCATTGGTCATTCCCCAATCCGACTGCGACTTCCCAGTTCTGGTCCTTGCCAATGGTATTGAGCAGGGATCAACAAGGGTCTATAGTAATAGAGTTTCTTAGCATTGAGGCACATGGCGCAGTTTGGATGAACTCCTATCAGTGTTGCAACCTGCTATTTCTCCTACCAAGAGCCATTTAATCTATCTGATTATCGGCATTTCTTTCCTCTGCAGTCCGCCTCGTGTATAAGATCATTCCGATCGACGCCCTCGAAGACATCGCTCTACGCATCTACCACACGGAAAAACAAAACACGTCAAAAGATCGCAACACACAAAAACACAGCACGATGCGTACATCTTCATTACTCGCTCTCGGCGTCAGCGCCCTCGCCTGGACAACAAGTGCGCTCGCCCCGCGTCAAGGCTCCGCGCCGTACTGCCCTCCTCGTCCGGCAACACCAGAGCAGCAAAAGGTCATTCTCGGAGAATTCATGCAAGCCTTCTACGAAGAAAGAAACGCAACCAAGGCCCTCCTGAACCACGTCGCCGAGGACTACATCCAGCACAACCCTGGCGCTCTCTCCGGCCGCGCGAACTCTCTTGCCGTCCTCGAGCCTTTCATTTCCCCGAACACGGTCAACTACACAATCATGAACAAGAACTTCCAGGACAACATCGCATTTATTCACTACCGCATGGATCTCGTGGGTGGAGGGCAGCCGTTTGCCGTGGTGGACGTTTTCAGATTCAACGGGACTTGCGTTATGGAACATTGGGACGTGGCGCAGCAACGGACTGCCAACTCAACGAATCCAATCGCTTTGTTTTAGACCATGCGGGAGTAACCACGTTCATGACAGTCGCCATATAGAGAATATCCAACCACCAAAATTGGCTTATGCACTTGCGATGAAGCTCGTTAACTCTCGAATCGCTCGCCCTTGAACGATACTATGCGTTCTAGAGAGGCCAACTGACTGCACCGCCCGCAAACTCGTGATACCTACCTTAGTTCGATCTCGTTGGACACTCGCTACCTTGCTTTACCTCTTCCTTCGTTTCAGTCACTATTGAGCAATTATCGCGGGCCATTGATGTCAAACAGGTACCAATGCTGCTCGTCACGTACAATACTTTGAGGAACTCGTCCGCCAGGGCGAGGCCCGACAGCCGAGAGGTGGGGAGAACTGTGAGGGTTTCGATCTCCGTGCCGGCTCGATTGCCGGAAGAGGAAGGTGGGAACGGATAGACAGCAGGAGGATGGGCATGTATACTTGCTCCGAGTCCCAAGCTGCTGCCGGAGTGTACCCCTATTACATGCATACGAGTTTGCGTGATCTCTAACCTCCATGTCTTCCTGAATCAGACATCTAGTGACATGGACAAGTGGTAAGCGTGTGTATGACTCAGATTTTGTTCAACTGGGTATGGTAACATCCAACTAGAAACGCATATCTTTCCATATCACCCAAGAATGCCCACAACGCTTCACAAGTTGACGGAAAGCCCAAAAATAACATGTACGAACATTCATTTCCAGTGAGCTCGTGTTTTGTAAAGCTTTGCGATTTGCCTTTTGGAGGTGTTTCTGCTCCTCCCTGTGAGACCCTAAGCTCCAATGACAGTCGTATTATTGACGTCGAAGCAATTAGTCGTGATGCTACCGGCACAAAGATCGTAGAAATTCCCTTTTGTGAGATCGCAGTTTTTCCTATCGACGAACGAGACAATGTCATACCCGACTGAGTTGGGGTGTTCGCAGACCTCCCGGGCCGTCTGACCCGGTATTCCAGTCAAGACCTGGTTGTCAGGATCCATGTCCGAGCCTTGTCTCTTGCTCAAGCGTGTAGAACGAGTTCTCTTCGTTCGATACTCCCTTCCGATTCACCCTGTTGTTTGTATACGTCCTTATGATACTTGAAGCGATCCAGGGCTTCGGTAGAATTTTCATCTTTGCCTTCTAGTTTCGGATTGACGGTGTCCTTGTTGTACTTCAAGAGTGGGTAGAAGAATGGGAAAACGCCGTCTGGTATGAGATGCCACCAAAAAGAGTACCGAGGTGTGCTTTTACACAGGTAGCACAACTCGCTATTTTACAATCTCTACTTGTCAGGCGAAGGCAGTATGTCTCTGAGGTGAAAACTCATAGCGTTGAAGTTGGGATGGGAGTGATCTAAGTCCATCCATACACACTTGGTCATGAGGTTATCACACTTGAACTTCCGTTGGCTGTAGTACCATCCTTGGTCACATTTGTATCCAGTGTCTGCATTGACCGTCCCACTGAGTCGGCCGTTGGAAACTTGGACCATCGCAATGCATGTTGCGTCGGTATCGTGACTCAACATGGCATATTGGGGATCGGATATCTGCCCGTTGTTCTCATTATTCGGTATCTTGACGGTTCGCTCGCTGCTCTGGGCTCTCTTGTCACCTAGCTTGGTGCGGTATCGTCCTATTCTGTTGCCATTGTCGTCCCAAATGGCAACATCAGGAAAGACGCCGCCAGCATCCTTGAGATCGCCTCCTGCTCCCGTCACCACGGTCACCCAAATTTCCGCGATAGGTTTCTCGGGAATGGCTTCTTTGATGATGAAGGCTACGGGCATAAAGGTTCCGACATTAATGAGGGTGAATCCAAGGTGAGTGTTCACCCATGTCGTCAGCAGTGCCGCGGCAGGCCCAGGGGCCAAGTCAGCAGGATTGGCAGGTTGGTATTGAGTCGTACCAAGAGCTCAAATTTATTGACTGCAATGAGCCAAAATGCTATAGAAGAAGATTGAAGGTTTAATTCTCGCAGTTTTGCAGGAAGTGTTCGTCTTGGACATACTCATCGAGTATTAATCTGGTCGATGAGACCTGGGAGTACACGAGGATTGCTCATGCTCAATGGAAGGTCTTCCAATTTCCGTCAAAGAGAGTTACGTATCATTGCGGATTCTATGATACGATCTTTCGTTACGCGACGGATTCTGTATTACGTGGTAAGAGAATATTGAAGTGTTGATTGCAATCGGTCTGCCGGTCACACTAGATAGGGTGCATATAGAAATGATTGTCTAGAAACTTGCATGTCGATCCGCTTCAATGAACCCCGCGTCGTGTGACACTCGAGACACTTTTTGTTGAAGGTAGGGGGCTCTACTCTCCCTGTTATATCACCAGAGCGTGTTGTGCCTTTATCTACGTAATTGAGTGTCGTGCTAAGAGACTCATACACATACTGCTTTCAGTTTGGTGCCTAAAGTTAGTTCACTCTGATGTGAGAAATTGAACAGGCTTTTGCTGGTGAGTCTTGCTTGTCCCCAAAGCTAGTCGCACATTGCGGACCAAGAGTGAGACAGATTTGCAGAACGAAGGTTAATTAAATTAAATATGTGATAGAAATCCCCCACTCTAGTTGCCATGACCTTCAAATGTACAGTATCAACGAACGTAGTGACTAACAATCCGGACTATGCAAAGTCTACAACCGACACCATGTTCTAGATTAATGAGTGAATAACAGGCGAATCTGTCGGAAACCCCGCTTATTTGGAGCAGAAGGACCAGGAGCTCTCAATGCTCCAGGAGAAGCCAGCGGAGAAAGAAGGAGTGTAAGAAGCAGCAGAAGGATTGTACTGCTGAGTGAAGAGACTGCAGTAGGTACCCTTAGCGATACCGTTTTGCTTGACCATGAAGGCGTTGAAGAAGTTGCACTTCAGAGGGCTGTAGCCGAGGAAGCTGGCCCAGGAGCCGAGGCCGACAGACTTGGAGTTCTGGACGTTCTGGGCAGCGGCGTAGGTAGCGCAGAGGCTGGCATCAAAGGGACCGGGGAAGAACTTCTGTCCCATGCAGGTGCTGGGGTGAGAGTGGACGACACCGCCGCAGCCCTGGGGGTTAGTCCAGCCAGAGGGAGTGGTGGGAGTGGTGGTGTTGGTCTTCTCGTAGCCGTTGGAGCCGGTGATCACGACCTGGAAGCCATCACGAGTCTGGCCAGTGTTGACAGCAGCAGCCTTGTCGACGCCGGAGCCCCAGAGAGTGCACTTGTAGTTGGAGATGGAGGCAGGGTTGGTGCAAGAGCAGCCGGAGGGGTTGATGGAGGGGTCACGCTCAACGTAGATGTTGATACCGGTGCACAGGTTGGTGGCGTCACACTTGGCAGCGCAGGCGGCGACGTCGTAGCTCTTGAGGGTGTAGAGGCCGAGGTAGCTGTTGGCGTTGACGGCGGCGCTCAGGTCCTTGAAGGTGTTGGCGTATCCGGAAGGGTTGGCGGCCGACTGAGCCTCCTTGTGGAACTGGGCGAAAGACTGGAAAGCCTCGACGGTGTCGGGCTGGACCTGAGTACCGTATCCATCGGGCTGGACAGCGCAAGGGTCCTCAGGGTTGATGAATCCGCAGTAAGTGCCGACCTCGAAAGGCTCAGCGCAACCAGAAGCAGTAGTGAACGCGAAGGTGTTGGTCCAGCTAACCGGGGTGCAGGTCGAAGGCGCGGTAGGAGCAGTGGTGATGGTGGCGGCAGTGGCAGTGGTCACGGCCGAAGTTGTGACAGGAGCGGTAGTCTTGGGAGTGGTCACGGCAGCGGGAGTGGTGGAAGTAGTGCAGATCGAAGTAGTCTTGGCGGACGAAGTGGTGGAAGGAGATCCCCAGCAGAAGCCAAAGAAGCAGAAAGTGCGCTTGTCGAGGCCACGAGCCGCGACGGACTGAGTGGCACTGGCGGAAGCGACACCGGTGACAGCGGCGGCGGCGGATGAAGATGCAGCAGCCGCGTCGTAGACGCCAGTCTGGCCAGTGGCCAGGGCAGGAGGTCCAGTCAGGGTGGGTGCAGCGGCACCGATGATGGCATCGAAGTCCATGGGCGCGGTGGTGGTGGGCGCGGCCGACGCGAGAGCCGCGAGGGCGATGATGTTCAAGGAGTAACGCATGTTGATGATACGAGGCTCGCGTTGAGCTGGAAGCAGAAACTTTGAATGAATGTTGTTGAAGGAGATACTCTGGCTCAGAAGAGAATGTGATGCTCAAGGTGAGAAGTGATCGAAGCTGCTGGGATGAAGAGAGAATAACAAAATGAGCCTGGAGAAGAGTGCTGGTTATATACCGTTGTTGCGATCATATGTGGCGGCGTATTTTGACATCGCGGGTTTAGACCACATTGAGCTGACATTTCTTCTTTGGAGCGTATTGCGGCACCCGTTGGCCGACTGGCGCCTCGTACAAGCTCTGAGCACCTCCCAGAAGTGTGGTCCATCGTATCCGTAGTTCAGGTTACCAGAGGTCAGAGCTCTTAGTGAACGGTGAGACCGATCTCCGTGCAGTCCAATCCATAGTGTCGGCAACTTGACCGGAGTCGAGAAAGGCCAGTGTAAGTGAGGTCCACATCGTCACTCTCCTGAAGCACCGTCCCGCTTACTGCGTTCGCGATTCGCGAGTAACGGCAGTCTGGGGCAGCGGGTATGTCGATCCCACAAAGAAAGTGGAATGTTTCAAGAGTTGCTCTATTGGGATCTGGAAACTTTTCCTTTGTTGCCCTATCCCTGATTCATTGATTGAACCAACTATGAAGCGGCTCTAAATGGATGGCTTTGTCCCAATTCGTCCCGAAAACGCCAGAGCGGGTAACTCGGGATCTCCTGTAGCGCTTTGATCCTTGTTCCTGTAAGCTAGACTTAGTCTAGGTTGACCGAGCATGATATGACCCCATTAGCTAGCCGTTAGACAGACGCTGCATCAATTAGCATCTTTCAGGTGAGCTGAGGTTCTATGAGGAGAATGGCCGACTGAGTGCAAAGGTGGGAATCATCAGATCAACCGCGAGAGAGGGTGGAGTCACTTGTGAGTCTCGCCTGCTCTACCTAAACGGTGCAGATACGATTATGCACACATCCACTTCTCGACGATGAGACTCCGCGTAACTCTGACCGGTCAAGGCGATAAACTACCCTCAAAATCCTAAAACGGCTTTTCGCAGCCGCCTATCTATGCGCGTTGCTGAGCTTTAGGCTATATGTTGGGCTTGCGGCCGCAACGTGAAGGCCCATGTTCGTTGTTTGCCCGCGTTAAGTGACAGCAAGTAAACATTGTTTGTGCAGAATCCGAGGTATTGGCATCCGTGCCAAGCATGTCAGCGTGCACGGCGAGCTGGCTGCCGATTGCGCCCAGCGAAGCCAAGAGTCGGGGTCTTCTTGTGGCTTTGATGCTCGACGGGCCGTCGTCGTCCCAGTGATGAACACGCGTCAGCGACCGTGCAACAGAAGCCCTCGGAAATCGGGATGACGACTCGGATTCAATGGTCTGTGGAAGCTGCCACAATAGCAGCTGGTTCCTTTCATCGAGTAAGGTAGCTTGTCCAGCTGTGTTGATGTTGACCGAAGCTAGACCAGATTCATCGTAGTTGCATGGCAAGCCACCACGCTATCTATATTTTTGGCAATTCTGGTCAGGTACCATTGCTAGTTTTTCTCCTTTTTCTTCGGTGCAGTGTAACAATGAACGTATGGTCCGACCAGGCTTCACCAGATCTTTTGAGAATCAATTTACGCTACCGGTTCCTGCAGTAGCCCAGAGGCAAATGCACATTAACAAGTTCAAGGTTCGGTCTTCTGCATCATTCATGCTCGATGACCCCACAAGCCCCTTTGTTTTCGCTGACCAAGTCCCTCTATTAGGTAACGCCAAACCTCAATTATGTTTTTTGGTGGCAGCAATGATGATATACTTGACCTATCGGCTCACTAATCATCTGAGCAAGTCTGCTGTTGAGAACGGATGACTTCTCTCGATGCCTCCTCTCTAGGTAGGTCGGGGTTGACGATTGATGGTTGTTCTTAGCCTCGGGAACATCACGATGGGCTTCTTTCATTACATCGCGCGAGGCTAGGACTTCGCAGCATGTGCCATTGTCAGGCTATTCTAGTTGTCAAGTTGATTCGACTTGCAGACCCTGGTAGGCTTGAACATTTCGCGGAACTTGCCACAACTGTCACGACTGCACGACACTCCCGGTGGGCTGGTTTTGACAGTGACAAATTTTGCCAAGCGTACTCACTTTAGTTATTGATAGTCACGTCGGCCCGATAATCTAGCACCAAACCTTGTGTAAAGTTGCAAACTGAAGACAGGAAACCAATGGCAGTGGTTCGAAGAGAAGCCAGGCCCGATTATGAAATCATATGGAGTTGTCATATTTCCAGTGAACACATGCAGAAAGGCTCTTGTCTCCTCTCGTTACAAATCGCTTGCTGCGATCACGCTTCCCCTCAACCCACCAAGAGATGAATATTTCAGTACTACGGGAAACCCCCTTTTATGCCCTGAAGCATCTCTCTGCGATCAAGCTAAATTTTCAGTGGCATTTGCTGCTATCACTAGCTCGAGTGTGGAAAAAGTCGAGTGCAGAGTACGCTGGCATATCAGAATATACCTGAGCGACACAGCGAGCTTATCCGATTAGGTCTGCGTCAACTCCGAAGGCCCTGTAAAGCTGTCATAAGTTCCACGAAATGGTTGCTTGAAAAAGGATCAGGAGTTCAAGGGATACAATGAACGCATTGTTGATGATCCTCAGATTTCAGACTGTGCTGAATGTTATGCGAGTGAGGCGACTTGAATCTTGCATTTATCAACAGATAAA